GCTAATTTTTTGTATTTTTAGTAGATACCGGATTTCGCCATGTTGGCTAGGCTGGTCTCGAATGCCTGAGCTCAAGCAATCCACCCGCATCGGCCTCCCAAAGTGCTGGGATTACAGGTGTGAGCCACTGTGCCTGGCCTTAATTTCGTAGTTTTCTGATGATTTTATGTCACCACTATGAACTATTTATGTTGAGTGCTGTAATCCAATGATGCCCTCGGGACGATTGCAGTGTATAGCACTGATGCCTCCAGACCACGGCACGTTAGAGTAGCCAGTTGCTCTACTTGTCCCACTGAGGAACTACCTGTATTTCAATGCTACCCACTAGGGCTTTGTAAGCTATTTGCACCTGTGCTGCCCAGTGGCCTTGTTGGTTTTCAGGACTTTTTATCAGGTTTTCAGGACTTTCCAGGATGGAGGTCACCACTGTTTGGCTTCTGGATAAGAGGAATCATTGTTCTCAAAATAAGATAATGAGCAAAAAGGATTTAGGACAGAGACAATAATGATAAATTACTTTTGAGTAGGTTTACTTAGTGGGAAAGAAAACTTGTCTAAAGAAACTTTAATAATAAACCTTGTCTAAAGTAAATATTTTACACATAGCTTAGACCTTCTGGTGGAACCGATATATTTTCCCTTCAAATTTGAGCCTATGTACTCATTCTCTTAGGCTCTCAATTTAATCAGAAATATGATATTAAACCACAGGGAATGTAATTGCCTGAGTTTTGTGTCTCCATCAAGAAAGGAGACAGAGAAAATTTGAGAAAAATGAAGGAGGAAGAGTTGGGTCAATCCCAGACAGGTAAAAGGGGAATTTCCTGGGGAGGATTCTGATGCTGCAGAGAATATGAGGGTGTAGCTGGGCCACAGCTCCATGGGATGAGCCTGCAGAAGAATAGGAAAGCCTGCTTCAGTGCCCCTCCTGCCCAGTGAAGCTCTCACCTAGATAAAAGGGCCATGCCGGTGGTCTGCTCTCTGGATGACCCACCTTCCTTCTGTCAGAAATGCCTGTAAGTTGAAGAGAACATAACAAAACAAGTTCGATGAGGAGAAAGATAAAAGAGCAGAAATGCATTGAACATTCTTAGTTTCCACTTAAAACGTACATTTGACTTTTGTTGCCTTCATCCACTCCAGAGGGTTTTTCCTCAAATGGGTTCTGAAGACATTCCTATCCATGTTACTGTGTACCTGCTCTACATAAGGGACAGGGTAAAATGTTTTGGGATATGAAGGGATACAAAGAATTTTTTTCCCCTTAAGAACCATACCATCCTTTTTGGGAATGATGTGTATAACTTCAGTGTTGGCTGGCATCGCCAGCCTATGCATACACATGGGGGCATATTTATAGTTGCACCCACATTTTGATGACCTTGAACTCTACCTTGGCCCATGTATGAACTTAGCTATCTCTTAGAGCTTATCTATTCTAGTTAAGGTCTCACTAGGACCAGAGAGATGGCATGTGTACACTGAAAAAATAATAAATAACAAAGACATTATTTCTAAGAGGTGTGGCCAAGGTTTAGCAAGAGCAAGAAGGGATGGTGCAGTGATGCAAGCTAGGAACACTAGGAGCTGTTACCACCCTTAGGCCTGAAGAAATAAAGAGAGGAGGGGCACCAGAACCTGCAGAGAGAGTGAGAGAATGAGGGCGAGGGTGCTATATGAAAAGGCCCCTCTGTCAGAAGCTGAGATGTAGTAGGAATGGAAGTGCGGGAAAATACGCTTATCACATCTTGTCTCTCTGCCCCTTCCTCTGGGATCCTGGTTGTGGTCTCCATTTGTGAAACCAACCAGATGCCAGTGGCCAAGGAAGCACATTGGTGCAGCCCACACAGGTCACCCTCCAAGGGCACACAGCAGGGTGAAGAAGGGTAGAGAATAGGTCTGGAGGGTTAAATGAAAGGTATCCAGTATGCTAATTTCAGAGTTTCTTAGATGATGCTTGTTTCATCCTTCCTCTTCTATTCTGGCTTCCTTTGTTTTAATCCATAGCCTGTGAACCCTTCTAAAGAATCTTCACCATTGACACCGTTCTTAGGGCCACTAATGCAAAGTCCAAAGTCCCAATCAATTGTGTTCTCCTACCACAGGCTTCCTGTGTTAGTCTGGGTCCTCTGAGAAGCACATGATAAAACAGGATGAAATGTGCAAGGATTTTATTAAGGTGGTGCCTGTGAGAAAAGATGGAGTTGGAAGTGGAGAACACTGGGCAAGCTGCCAGTCTGACCACAGTGAAAGAGAGAGGGGTGGAAGCATCCTAGGCTGCCGCATACTCTAGGAAGGTTCAGCAAGGTCATCAAGGAGACTTTAAGGCAAAGTCGCCGCGGGAGGAGTCCTGTGTCTCCTCTGGATGGACCTGTCTTACTATCCCTGCCACATTCAGTCCTTGGCTGGGAGCAGCCTGTAGAAGGGTGGCCTTGGTCCAAATGCAGTGGTGAATTTTACGACAAAGAAACTAGGCCCTTGATCAATTATGCTTGTAATTGGAGATCTGCAAAGTGCATTCTCATGGGCCCCTACAGTTTTCCAGGAATTCAGAGCAGCGTTAGAATCCAAGAGAAAGGGGTCAGAGATTGACCCTCTATCTTGACCTCCCTGAGTTTGCATCATAGGCCTGGGTAACAATTTTTGTGCTGAGAATTTCATAAGCACTCATAGGAATTACTTCTTGTAGAATATTTTCAATGTCTGTGGTGGGCATGGCTACCCTCCTTGGAATAGCAGAGGGACGGCGCTCAGGCTGCCTCCTGAGGAGCATTTTCAGAGATATGAGCTGAAGGCTTTAGAATTTCTATGTGAAAAAGGCTTTGGAGTATAAGGGGCTTATGGTCCATGGGGCTCAATGACAGGAATGCTGGAGGCTCCCCAAAGCTTCATGTGGTATAGCCACTTTCTCTAGAGTTCTACAACGTTTCCTTTTAGGGAGGCAAGAAATGACTCATTGTTCTTTATTTCTTTACAGTAGAGCTTGATTGCCCCACCAGGAAATTCAACCTCTTTTACTACCCCAACAATTCTAGGTCTACCTCGTGTTAATCATTTTATTTCCCACCATACTACTGCCAATCTCCATTCATCTAATTAGTAATCAATTAATTTCCATTCAACAATGATTGGTTCAACTTGTACTGCAACAAATTATAATTACCTGTAAGATTAAAGGATGAACCTGATGCCTTATACTGACATCCCTATTTCTCTTCATTGCCTCAACCAATCTCCTTGGGCTTCTACCCTATTCATTTACAACAACTACTCAATTATCAATAAGTTTAGGTATAGCAATCCCCTTCTCTAGGCAAGAAATGACTCATTGTCCTTTATTTCTTTTACAGTAGAGCTTGATTGTCCACCATGAAATTCCTAGAACACAGAGCACAGAAACCAAAGTCCTGGGTGTTATTAGGATTCTTTTAGTCCATGGTAGAGAGGTGGCTATCTCCTCATAAGAAAATTGGGGTGATTTTAGGATGAGGCCTTGACAGCTAGGCTGCCAAAAATACTTATAAATACTTATTACAGGCTGTTTAGCCAAGGATAGATGTGGGGCTAATTTATGAAAACCTCTTGCTGAAATAGCAAGAAATAAAACATAAGTCTTAGGAAACTTATCAGGAGATTCTACAATATAGTAAAATAATCTGATTATATTCCTATCTCCTCTGCCAGATGGTAAGCAGTTTGAAGGCAGAAACTGTGTCATATTCTTTAAAAATATAACTTTGAATTATCTAAGTGATTAATGAATATCATTTTTATAAAAATAAAAGTGACTAATAATGTTGAAATCTCCTTTGACTATCACAACCAAACTAGTTTGCCCCCTCCTTCCCATTACCCACATGCCAGGCACACAAAGGTGGTTCACATGATGCTTGTTGACCTGCATGGGAGAGATCCAGAGTGGAAACTGAGAGAGGTTCAGCAGGCAACAGGTGGTAGGGTGGGGGTGACTGACCCCTACCTGCCCCAATCTGGCCAAGCACCCTCTCTCTACACCACTGCCTGCAGGGCTACAAAAATTTTTTGGCTTGTCACGGATTGCCAAACTGTGATATACAGCAGAGTTGATGTAAACTTCCACACTTTCTAGAGGATAGTTTTACTACTCTCATCAGAGTTGTGGTCATATTTCCATGGGTTTAATCTAGTTTTGCTGGAGATGCTTCTCCAGGTCTACTGCTGGTCCTTGAAGGTGGAGACTCAGGACTATCAAATTTTACCAAAATCACTTCCCCTTCAAAGGAAAGGGTGAGGATAGAAGATGAGGACATCCTCTGGTCAGGTATCGCCAGACATAGACGAACATGATCAGGAATCGGGGGATGTGAATCAGAATGGGCAGTGGGACAGGAACAGAGAAGTCAGACATGTACCAAGTAAGAAGGTGGTGTTGACCTTCCTAAGCCCACCGGTTCAACCAATGACTGAGGCCCATGGTCTGGGTACAACTGGAAAGTGATGAGTACAAGTCAAGGACTTCCTCTTGGTTGAAAAAGCAAGGTCAAGAGGGAGGATGAAGAGTAGAAAAATGAAGAGAATCAATCAACCCTTTCTCAGCAAGACTTTGACCAAGTCACTTCCCTTCTGTACTTCTTTAGACCCATACCCCTCCAGTGGGTAGATGAATAACAGCCCATAACATGGTATTTATGAGTCACTCTTCAGGATGAAGAGTGAGAGACTGTTCATGAATGGGGATCAGCCCTCTAGTGGTCCTTTCTCTTGGGCCCTCTGTTCAATCACTGATTTGCTGGCAATTTCTTTCAGTGTTGAATGCCTGTTTGTCTCACTGGGTGGAATTTACTTAAAATTCTTATCTGGGGTACATGCAGTAAGTGGAGAAAAATGTAAGACATTTTTTTCTTTGGTCATTACTAACGAGCCCTGAGGAAAAAGCCTGAGTGGCTTGTGTTAATCATTAAACTTGCCCATGGTCAGGTCTGAACTTTTACTCTGGTACATATTTGGCTGGGACACAAACGAGTTAGGTGAGTTATAGTCTAACGTGAGCGAGTTACCTACGTGGTTGCTTCAGGCTGAGCTCTAACCAGATAACACGGCCATCGGTTCTTGACAGAGAGAAATAAGATCACTTAGAAAGAAAGGATCATTTCTCCCTTGAGTCACAAGGAGACAGAAACAGAAAAAAAAAGGTACTGTTTGATCCAGAAAAGTCTCTGCTCTCTGTTTTCTAGGTGTTATATCTCTTGTTAACGCTCTGGTGAACAAAAGGAAGAAATGGGAGATCTATAGCAGTGCCTTGCAGCTTTGTCCCTCGATGTCCCAAAGGAGCAGCTGAGAGGGAAGGGAAGAAGAAGGGAAGTGGGAGTGAGAGCAGAGAGAGGAGGGAGAGAGGAGGAGAACAAAAACATGACTAAATAAATGCACACAGCTCTCCTCTGTGGTTGAAAAATTTTAGTTATGAGAAATAGAGTTTGAGTTTATTTTTAGGAAGAATTAGTAGATAGACTAATAAAAAATTACATTTATAATTGACATGAAAAAGATGCTGTTTTGAATGTAGGGTTTTAAGAAAACCAATGTGAGAATGTTCATTTCTATTGTTCTAAGCTTGGGAGTAGGCATTAAGAAGAAATGTTAAAGTCATGTAGCCAGATTGAAAATAGACTCTCCCGTGCTGAGTATATTTTGTCTGTGTAACAAGCAAGTCAGATCTTGTGCTTTTGGACTAAGTAGCAAATACACTTGGGTACTGTTCCCTATGCAGTAGATGTATTCTGAAGATGGAATATTTATAAGTTGAATTCTATTTCAAATAGATGTAAAAGTTTGGGAATTTTGCAACGAAAAGGAACACTTGCTGAATCCACTTGAAAATACTAGAATTCCTTTCTTAAATCCAAGTAGCCTCCACACTTACCTTATCTGGTAATGACGGGGGTTGAGTGGGGGCAGGTACACAGACTATCTGTTTGTTTTCCCAACTCTTAGTACAGTGCTTAGCATGTAGTGGGCATAAAATAAATGTTTGCAGTGTTGTATTAAATAGATGTGATTATAGATTTTGAGCTGTCTCAATCAGAACATGCCTGTAAGGTAAGTTTATTGCAAGTTTTTTGCAGATTTTTTTTTGGGGGGGAGTGTTTTGTGGC